ACGAAAGCATGACTCAAAAGTCAAGAACGATTAACCAGTGGTATGCATCCTTTGAGAAAGCCAAGGATTTCGATTCCTGGGGTCAGTTGGTTGAAGCCGCTGATGAATATGTGAGGTAAACTCAAAATTATTCACTGCACTTCACCCTAAATATGTCTTCATTGTTATTTGTTTTTCTATCTTAATTCGCTATTCAATGTACTATAAGCTTTACCTTATATACTATCAAGTTGTTATATTTAGGAGTTTGATGTTTAACGTTTGCGTGAGCTGAATTTAATCCGACATGCATGTACAAGCGCAGTACTAAAAACTTCTACTGATTTGTGGCAGTTTATAATTTATTTATTAAGCTAAAATAAAACCTTGGAAAAAAAAAAAATCAGCTCACTCGCCAAATAACTCCATCGTCGTCTATTCGTCTGTTCTTTTTATACTACGATCGAAATAAGTTTATAACTGAATTTTAAAAGACGATCACAAAGTGCTTTGCACATTAACTTAGTACATTTTTGTGCATATAATGAATTTGAGTGAAATAAATGAAAGAAACTTTGATGAAAATAAGCTCATTAGTGAAATTAAATGTTATATCGGCCCAAACACGTAAAAATTATTTCGTTTGAAAATTCATCTCAAGACCCGTAAATTACCATCTTCAGATCTGCTTATTTTGAACTTTAGTTTAATAGAACCAGTAACTGTAATACGATAAATTATTCGCAACACCGATTTCACACTTCTGTGAGTCTTGACAGCAGGTGTAATGAACCTTTTGTCCTCCATTTGACACGCTCTTGAAACATTTGTTGCCCTGCATGCAACCACCTTATATTCACCAGACGATTGCTGCTGCAAAATAAATCCACTGGAGATGGCTGATGAAATTCATTTAAGCCCAACATGAGTAACTCCAGTTTCTTTGGGACACCATTTTAATGAGACTTTTGGCAAAAGTATAATTGTGATGTAGTTAAGAATTTGCATAAAATCTTGTTTTCCTGTTGTTAATTTTTTTTAATCTGCACATGAATAACCAAATACTTTTATATCTAAAATTTGCATGTTAATTATTCAAATTACTGACAGTGGACAAGTGTTTCTGTTTCTGAAAACAACCCACTTTCTTAACTTTTAGCTATTGCTTGTAAAGCAATTATATGGTCCCCAAAGGCCTAATATTTTATATATATATATATTAAGTATTGAATTATTATTATCCTAAATTTATTTAATTACATTAAAGCAAAACATTTTAAGGCCATTAAATCATGAAGAGATAGTGGAGATTCTAACCCAAACACCTGTGAGAGGGGTTCAAATTTTCTGTAACACTGCCATAGTCCTATGTAAGTTTTATTCTGCTTTTATACACGGCTTCCTTGTAAAGCAGGGTTTTTTTATCATTTCTCTAACTGTAGTAGTTATATAATTAGTGATTTATTAGTTAGGTAGTTAGACTAATTTAACTCAATATTGTTAAGTCCTGAAGGAAANACTCCCATATAAAAAAGGTGGCGTGCTCGTCAGAAATTTTGAAAAGACCCCCTGAGAGGTACGTACCAAGGTCCGGTGGTCTGGGGATGGCTTGAAATTTTTTTCTACCCTAAGAGGAACCAATTCTTACATAACACATCTGTCATATTTTTTCGGCTCAATACCCCTAAAGGTACCGTGAAAGTTCCCACTATGGACCTTTTGAGGCTAAACACCCTAAGAGATATCAAAAACTAAAAGGTGCGATGAGCACCCCCGTCATTTTTATATGGGAGTTCCCCCCTCCCCCCGGCTTCGCTTATCAAGAATTAAAGAATATATAATTTGTGCCTGATAAGCACCTAATCCTATCCATTTTTTCACACTGTCCTGTATTATTGTGGGGCTTTTGGGACACAGGATACTTGAGTGAAAAATTAACAGGTCATGCAGGATATATTGAGGGGAATAAAAGGATATGGGATGTTTAGACCTCACCCCTGCCCCCTCAAATGGGACCACATCATATTGATTTGTCTTCTTCTTCTTCTTTGATTGTGTACCACATTGTTCATTGTTTAGACTTGCCAGAGACTTGGGAAAGCATAGTACCCTTGGAAATACCATGTTTCAAGCGGAACAAAAGGTATGTACTTGTGCTATGTTGAATAATGAACTTGACATCATTGCAAACACTTTAAAGTGATTCACATGCCTCTACATATATGTGACTAATTTGCATGAAATCTGACAACAACCAGATGCTACATGAAAAACCATGTGTAATTAATTAATAAAATATAACTGAATTAAACAAACCATGCATGGTAATTAAAAAAATGAGGATCACATGTACCTTCTGTAGGGTGGTCATTGCATGGTTGTTTTCTAGTCAAGAATTGTGTATAATGTTAAACATTAAATTTTTATTCTTTCATTGCTTTTTTGTTCTTTTTAGAAGTTGATGCTAAAGATCTCAGCCTGTTTGGAGAAAAGAAGCAAAACATTGTTGTCTACACAGGTGGGTGAATCTATGTTTTATTGTGCAGGTCCAAGAAATGTCCATACTCCCCCCCCCCCCCCCCCACAGAAGGGATTGGAATTTCCTGGGGGGGTGGGGGGTTCTGGAAGACCAAAAACTTTAAAGAAATGTATGAAGTTTAACTGGAATTTCCAGAGGGGTGGGGAGGTCTTAGAAAAAATCCCTTCTGTGGGGGAGGTATGGCTATTTTCTGGAACTGCACATTGGCTGCCTGCTAGGCTTACAGTTATCAGTAAGGTTGATCTTCATTCTAATCAATAAATCTAATTCCCTCTTATACATGTACAAAAAAATTTAGCCAGAAAAGGTCAGAAAAGATCCTAACCATATTCATTTGTGTACTGGAAATTTATAGATTAATTATTTATTTATTATTATACAAGCCTGAATTACCTAAGCTTCAGATCAGCTAGAGTCATATCTTCTAGTGATTAACCCAGACACTGACCAATGAGTGGTTCCAGAAAATATCCATAACTTCACCAAGGATGGTTATTTGGTTGAAATTTACCCTCAGACTAAGAACACCTTTAATTAATTAAGAATAGTTTTGATACAATTAATTTTTTTTCTTAATATTGTTTTTTCTTTTAAGGCCAGAGAAGATGAGATTTCCTCTGAGGATATCAAAAAAGTTGGTGAAGGTATGTATTTAGCTAATTATTAATTAATGATTTGGGCCATGGATAGAGCCATATTGTAAGAGCGGCAAGTGTCTTTCCCGACTGATCATGATAGATCAAGCAATGACTTATTCTGGTATCTGAGATTTCTCTGACCAAGTAATGAGGTGTTTGTGATATTATAGGCCATTGTGTCAGTGAAAGAAATTAAATTGTATTTTATTTACTGACATTTATCTCCAGGTTGAAGACATATTAACCCAAAAACAATTTGACCTTACAACATACAGTGACTTAAATACACAAATTAAATATTAACAGTTTATTTAATATAATTATTATTACTGAAACTTGAACTCTATAATGGCCTACAAGGGGTGACTCTGCCTGAAAAGGGTACCATTTTCAAGCTTCAGGTATATAAAAAGGAATGGAATTTCACAAGTTGAGGTGTTTGAAAGAGTAGGGAAATTTGTCATTTATTAATAGTTATTTCAAAGGGCCTTTAATTAAAATTTCCTGAGCAGACGCACCTTGTGGTTGTACAGTACATGTACCATTATTTTAATTTAGTAGGCTGTACATGAAAATGACAAGACGACTTCTTTTTTTGATGATTTATTTATAGTGCGGGGAAGTTACGAAAGTATGCGAAAGGGATACCTTTTTTCAATTAAAGGTATATGGAAGGGGTACGTTTCCTGTCAAAATGGTTCACAAAAGGGTAAGGGATTGGACCCTGACCTGGGCAGAGCCTCCCAATAAAGGACTTTCTATGTAGTCTTCACTTTCAAATATCAATGTTCTTCTTCTTCTTGTCTGCTTCTGTCAGTATTAAGAAACTTGAATGTTGGGTGGAGTGGTCCATTTCCAGTCAGAGTGGAGGAGCCAAAAATAAGGTTGGTCCCGCCTGTTCTGCTGAGTGTTCTTTCTATCTCATCTTGTGGTACAGTGAAGCCACACTATAACTATTTCTTCTTGTATAATAATCATATTATTTTATATTTTGACTGGCTGGGCTGTTGTAGAAACTGTCAGCTTCTAATTAACTTCTCATTTTTTTTTTGAGGTTAATTCAGAAGATTTAGAAAATATTTAACTGACAGCTGTTTGTAAGTTAGAAATTAAATATTATAAATAAGTAAACAACTGAAGTGTTTAGCATACAGTAATTGTATTAATAACCTTATTATTATTTAATTTGCTAGTGGTGGTGGTGCTGCAGGATATGGAGAGGAGAATGGTAGTGAGTTTGTTGCTACAGCAGGTGAGTTCTAAGTAACTGGGAAAGTTATATTAATTAGAAATTTATTGTTAGTAGTTATTATTATTTTTTTAATTAACATGAAGCCCTTGTATGTACTTCCTTACTGAATGTTAGGCCCAGGTCTTGGCAGTAAGAATTAAGTGCAGTGAAGTCTAAACAGAAAAGCCTGATGGCTATTTTGTTCCCGACCGATTAATTTTTTTTTATTATTGTGTTTATAATAAACAAAGATTTTGATCAGATCAGATCAGACCACATCAGTCAAGACTGGAATTTTCAAGTTCTGGAAAAGAAGGGTTTTTGCACAGACCTACAGGGAAGAATTTTACAGGATTACATGTAGGATTATATTCTACAAATAGGATCAACAGGTTTAAGGATCTTGACTTAGATTCTATTCCTAAAGAATTTTACAAGAAATATTTACCACGTTCCTGTAGGATCGTTGTGAGATCCCATTCCCAGAGATGCCAAGAACCTAAAAAAATTCCACACCCGGGAGATTGCCAATATTCTACCCTGTAGAGAACTGACAGCTGAGCTCTAGATCTGCTAATTCCACAACAAAAATGCATCAAATATCAAAAAGTGTTCCCTGAAAGCGTCAAAAATCAGCCAAATTGAGTGTGAAAAATGTACGTTAAGCACTTTCCTTCATCTCTGGGAGATTTGGTGATTCGTGATTCAGTTTGTATCTGGGATTCCTGGATAAACTAGGAAAGTTGGCATAGATCTGATGCATTCCTCTTTAGGATCCTTTGGGGTTTTATACATTCGGTCAGGATCCTACATATTTATACTGATCTAGTTTGATTTTGGTCCATGGAATATGGAAAGTTTGTAACTAAGAGTCTAGTAAGTACAGGAAAAATAGAATGCCGTAGTTTAGAAAAGGGGTTTCACAAATTCAAAGCAATATGCCTGTTATATCTCTCAGTTAGTACGGCCGCTGTGATTGGTCAATTTGGCGGGCCGTATTCTACTGTACGGCCCGCTAAAATTTTAAAAGCTGTTTTTGTTGCCAAAATGTTTCGTGATTTATAGCCAAGTGTTCTTAACTTTTTTAGCTAGAAAGGGTTTAAAAATTCTTTTCTTCTGAAATTTTGTATTAATGCCTGCTAACGACTTAAGAGTCACTTAACAACGACTTCAAATTGACTCGTTTTACTTTCGACGTACGCTGGAAATTTGAAGCCATTCCGCGTGAATACAAATCGTTCCCGAACCCGTCAGAGACACAGTAGAGATATAATAAATGTCTTACTAACCTCGTCTTCTCGGTCCGTACAGTAAGTTACGGATCCTTGTTTTCCCCCTTCGATCTATGGCCCGCGCGCCGCACGCTCGAGCCGTAAATTGATGGGGAAAAAACTTGGTCCGTAACCTACAGTACAGCCCTCAAACTCGGTTAGTAAGAGGTATTTACATGCCGAAAGTTTACTTGTTAAAGAAATGGAGGCTTCATTAGTAGTGTCTGATAAAGGGGATCCATATCACATGTAGTCTCAAGGAGTTCTTATATTCATTAAGACCCAGTAAGATCCATAGCTGATTTACATGAGTGCTCTAATGACAGGTCCTGTGGAGTACTCATTATTGGAGGTTTGACCAAAAGTTAATTTTTGCCATTTTGTAACTGAAGGTGGGACACTGTTGCCAAGGATACCATATGAAGAGGGATTTCGTCGGCTTGTAGTGCGAATCGACCAGATTGGGTTGAAGGATGCTCATGTTTACCTGAACCCTTTTTTCACTGTCTCCGTTAAAGGTAGTGTTCAACAATTTGACCTTACAAAATTACCTGTGTTAGAAACTTGAAATAGGACTTACAAGTCTTTGTCACAAAAACTAGTTTATTACAACCATACCTTTACAACCAACAAACTCTTAACAAAATTGCATACTAAAAAATGTTCATGTAATTGATAATGACAAACTATTATTACATAAAGTTACATGAAAGATCATATAAAGACCTTTGTGAAGGAACGAAGGTGACTTTAACGCAATTTGCGTGACTGTTCGTGGCAACACTTAGCCAAAATCCTCACAAGTGACCGTCATGAAATGCGGAATGGGCTTCCATTACTTTTTTCCACTGACTTTCTGGCAACATAAGTTTGGATTCTATTATTTTTTGGTCGATAAGGCATTAGTTCAAATACGTTTACTTGTTCTTGATCTTTAAAATTGAACTCGATAGTTTATGTTTTTTATTGTTGTTGTTGTTGTTTTTTTGTTTTCTCGTTATCTCCTCAGGAGAAATCAGCACTTTTTGGTCAAGATCTCGTTTCAGTTCAGGCTGTTACATATGTACCTAGGAAGATACAAATTTACCCTGCAAGTTACTAAAATAATGTTTAATTTCTCTTCCGCTGATGCAGATGCTAACAGTGTTAATGTAACGTCACCTCAAGACACACCCATGTCACACAGGAAAGATGGAAAATTCATCATTTTTGGCATTGATGTAGAAATTCAGAAACCTATAGAAAAACTACCGAGAGGTACTGATATTGGTGACAGTAATTAGGAAGCCTGCATAGGCCCAATCGAGTTCACATCCACCGAGTTCGCACCGCTGAATTCACTATAAACTTTCTCTTTCGAGTTCTCCTTCACCTTCTATGTATTGAAGAACGACAAATAAACATTTTTTGTGGGATTTTGTGTCTTTGTGCCCACAATGTTGTCTTTTTTGCTTGGTAAGAGAAAGAGAAATTTTAAGCACTTGATCGCTGGTTGAATTGATGTGGGTGCGAACTTGGTTGGTGCGAACTCCCTTGGGTGCAGAGCCTCCAGCTACCTAAAGCCAAAAGTTACAATAACTAAGAGAGGATGGCTAATGGATTTTTTATAAAGCCAGACTGGCTTTAAAAAAAAATCCCTGTTAGGAAATCCTTTTCAAGTTATAAATTAATAAAGATGGTGAATTTTACATTAGTTACAATAACTAAGAGAGGATGGCTAATGGATTTTTTATAAAGCCAGACTGGCTTTAAAAAAAATCCCTGTTAGGAAATCCTTTTCAAGTTATTTTTAGACGTGGTACCCAGTTCTTCCGCCGATAATGTATCACACACATTATGTTTTCATGGAGGATGAAAATTCGTGTAAAGCTGCTTAAGTTGTCCACACGAGAATTGGCTAGTTCCAGATTTCCGAAACTGGAAGTGATGTTAGAAATAGAACTTGAAAGGGATTACTTTGAGAATAGCGCCTATAGGGGGGTTAATTTCCTTTCTCTTCATCTTCTCATGCAATAACCTTATGCGTTTAACTCCACATGAAGTGGTCAAGGGTATACAGTATTTTGGTCATTACTGTCAACAATATGCGACTCAAGCTAAGCTCCGGTCCCCGTAAAGATTATCCCAACCCCATTGGCATTGAGACTCAGGCTCTGTAACTCAACCCCATCCCCTACCCTCTTCCCCATGTCTCTGGTTTATCATGAGACTCTGTGTCTTTGACTTGTTAACCTAGGTACAGCGATATTCTTCGAGTTCAAGCATTACAAACCCAAAAAGGACATCGTGAGCACAAAATGCTTTGCGTTTATGGAGCAGGATGAAATAAAACCCGGCCCTGCTTGCATAGAGCTGTAAGTAAACAACGTTTTACCTTTTTACGTAAATTTTGACTTATGCGTTCTACTGTTCTACTGGCCTCTGGTCTTCAAAGGATGGATAACGCTATCCGCTGAATTAATCGCTATCGAGTAAATAGTGTATTCTACTAAGTTCTTTTTTCGACTTTTATTCAGAGGATATGCATCTTTTTCCTTGTATCGAGACCCTGCCAACTATGAAAGTCGGGCGGCTTTGGGGATAAGTATGTTTCTCTTCTTTCCTCCATTTCTGTGCGCAGTGTGCTTTGTCCTCTCCCTGCCTTGCCCTAGTCAAATTATTCAAGATGGCGACTTGACTTTCTGCCCGGGAGAGGAGGGGGGGAGGGGAGGGGAACACCCGTATGAAAAGGTCGGGGAGGCTCGTCTCGCTTTATAGGGGTATAAATCAACGATTCTGGTCTCACTTAGGGGGTTCGTGAGGAAACGGCACTATGTGTCCATGTAACTGTCGAAGTGTCTATCTATAATAATAAAAACCGCTCTTATTTCTGTTTTTTATCTACATTTTCGCCGGTCTCTCGAGTCCGGTCTGTTAGCGCAGGCTCCCTTCCTGGACAGCGGCTGCTAATCAAGCCTATTCCATTTTAAGTGGTATCCTTTAGGGGTCAAATAAAGCGCAAGGCACACCCAGATTGGTCTCCTTAAGGGGTTTAATTCATATTTTTCGACAAGCATCACCGGCCCTTTCATANGAGTCATATCTTCTAGTGATTAACCCAGACACTGACCAATGAGTGGTTCCAGAAAATATCCATAACTTCACCAAGGATGGTTATTTGGTTGAAATTTACCCTCAGACTAAGAACACCTTTAATTAATTAAGAATAGTTTTGATACAATTAATTTTTTTTCTTAATATTGTTTTTTCTTTTAAGGCCAGAGAAGATGAGATTTCCTCTGAGGATATCAAAAAAGTTGGTGAAGGTATGTATTTAGCTAATTATTAATTAATGATTTGGGCCATGGATAGAGCCATATTGTAAGAGCGGCAAGTGTCTTTCCCGACTGATCATGATAGATCAAGCAATGACTTATTCTGGTATCTGAGATTTCTCTGACCAAGTAATGAGGTGTTTGTGATATTATAGGCCATTGTGTCAGTGAAAGAAATTAAATTGTATTTTATTTACTGACATTTATCTCCAGGTTGAAGACATATTAACCCAAAAACAATTTGACCTTACAACATACAGTGACTTAAATACACAAATTAAATATTAACAGTTTATTTAATATAATTATTATTACTGAAACTTGAACTCTATAATGGCCTACAAGGGGTGACTCTGCCTGAAAAGGGTACCATTTTCAAGCTTCAGGTATATAAAAAGGAATGGAATTTCACAAGTTGAGGTGTTTGAAAGAGTAGGGAAATTTGTCATTTATTAATAGTTATTTCAAAGGGCCTTTAATTAAAATTTCCTGAGCAGACGCACCTTGTGGTTGTACAGTACATGTACCATTATTTTAATTTAGTAGGCTGTACATGAAAATGACAAGACGACTTCTTTTTTTGATGATTTATTTATAGTGCGGGGAAGTTACGAAAGTATGCGAAAGGGATACCTTTTTTCAATTAAAGGTATATGGAAGGGGTACGTTTCCTGTCAAAATGGTTCACAAAAGGGTAAGGGATTGGACCCTGACCTGGGCAGAGCCTCCCAATAAAGGACTTTCTATGTAGTCTTCACTTTCAAATATCAATGTTCTTCTTCTTCTTGTCTGCTTCTGTCAGTATTAAGAAACTTGAATGTTGGGTGGAGTGGTCCATTTCCAGTCAGAGTGGAGGAGCCAAAAATAAGGTTGGTCCCGCCTGTTCTGCTGAGTGTTCTTTCTATCTCATCTTGTGGTACAGTGAAGCCACACTATAACTATTTCTTCTTGTATAATAATCATATTATTTTATATTTTGACTGGCTGGGCTGTTGTAGAAACTGTCAGCTTCTAATTAACTTCTCATTTTTTTTTTGAGGTTAATTCAGAAGATTTAGAAAATATTTAACTGACAGCTGTTTGTAAGTTAGAAATTAAATATTATAAATAAGTAAACAACTGAAGTGTTTAGCATACAGTAATTGTATTAATAACCTTATTATTATTTAATTTGCTAGTGGTGGTGGTGCTGCAGGATATGGAGAGGAGAATGGTAGTGAGTTTGTTGCTACAGCAGGTGAGTTCTAAGTAACTGGGAAAGTTATATTAATTAGAAATTTATTGTTAGTAGTTATTATTATTTTTTTAATTAACATGAAGCCCTTGTATGTACTTCCTTACTGAATGTTAGGCCCAGGTCTTGGCAGTAAGAATTAAGTGCAGTGAAGTCTAAACAGAAAAGCCTGATGGCTATTTTGTTCCCGACCGATTAATTTTTTTTTATTATTGTGTTTATAATAAACAAAGATTTTGATCAGATCAGATCAGACCACATCAGTCAAGACTGGAATTTTCAAGTTCTGGAAAAGAAGGGTTTTTGCACAGACCTACAGGGAAGAATTTTACAGGATTACATGTAGGATTATATTCTACAAATAGGATCAACAGGTTTAAGGATCTTGACTTAGATTCTATTCCTAAAGAATTTTACAAGAAATATTTACCACGTTCCTGTAGGATCGTTGTGAGATCCCATTCCCAGAGATGCCAAGAACCTAAAAAAATTCCACACCCGGGAGATTGCCAATATTCTACCCTGTAGAGAACTGACAGCTGAGCTCTAGATCTGCTAATTCCACAACAAAAATGCATCAAATATCAAAAAGTGTTCCCTGAAAGCGTCAAAAATCAGCCAAATTGAGTGTGAAAAATGTACGTTAAGCACTTTCCTTCATCTCTGGGAGATTTGGTGATTCGTGATTCAGTTTGTATCTGGGATTCCTGGATAAACTAGGAAAGTTGGCATAGATCTGATGCATTCCTCTTTAGGATCCTTTGGGGTTTTATACATTCGGTCAGGATCCTACATATTTATACTGATCTAGTTTGATTTTGGTCCATGGAATATGGAAAGTTTGTAACTAAGAGTCTAGTAAGTACAGGAAAAATAGAATGCCGTAGTTTAGAAAAGGGGTTTCACAAATTCAAAGCAATATGCCTGTTATATCTCTCAGTTAGTACGGCCGCTGTGATTGGTCAATTTGGCGGGCCGTATTCTACTGTACGGCCCGCTAAAATTTTAAAAGCTGTTTTTGTTGCCAAAATGTTTCGTGATTTATAGCCAAGTGTTCTTAACTTTTTTAGCTAGAAAGGGTTTAAAAATTCTTTTCTTCTGAAATTTTGTATTAATGCCTGCTAACGACTTAAGAGTCACTTAACAACGACTTCAAATTGACTCGTTTTACTTTCGACGTACGCTGGAAATTTGAAGCCATTCCGCGTGAATACAAATCGTTCCCGAACCCGTCAGAGACACAGTAGAGATATAATAAATGTCTTACTAACCTCGTCTTCTCGGTCCGTACAGTAAGTTACGGATCCTTGTTTTCCCCCTTCGATCTATGGCCCGCGCGCCGCACGCTCGAGCCGTAAATTGATGGGGAAAAAACTTGGTCCGTAACCTACAGTACAGCCCTCAAACTCGGTTAGTAAGAGGTATTTACATGCCGAAAGTTTACTTGTTAAAGAAATGGAGGCTTCATTAGTAGTGTCTGATAAAGGGGATCCATATCACATGTAGTCTCAAGGAGTTCTTATATTCATTAAGACCCAGTAAGATCCATAGCTGATTTACATGAGTGCTCTAATGACAGGTCCTGTGGAGTACTCATTATTGGAGGTTTGACCAAAAGTTAATTTTTGCCATTTTGTAACTGAAGGTGGGACACTGTTGCCAAGGATACCATATGAAGAGGGATTTCGTCGGCTTGTAGTGCGAATCGACCAGATTGGGTTGAAGGATGCTCATGTTTACCTGAACCCTTTTTTCACTGTCTCCGTTAAAGGTAGTGTTCAACAATTTGACCTTACAAAATTACCTGTGTTAGAAACTTGAAATAGGACTTACAAGTCTTTGTCACAAAAACTAGTTTATTACAACCATACCTTTACAACCAACAAACTCTTAACAAAATTGCATACTAAAAAATGTTCATGTAATTGATAATGACAAACTATTATTACATAAAGTTACATGAAAGATCATATAAAGACCTTTGTGAAGGAACGAAGGTGACTTTAACGCAATTTGCGTGACTGTTCGTGGCAACACTTAGCCAAAATCCTCACAAGTGACCGTCATGAAATGCGGAATGGGCTTCCATTACTTTTTTCCACTGACTTTCTGGCAACATAAGTTTGGATTCTATTATTTTTTGGTCGATAAGGCATTAGTTCAAATACGTTTACTTGTTCTTGATCTTTAAAATTGAACTCGATAGTTTATGTTTTTTATTGTTGTTGTTGTTGTTTTTTTGTTTTCTCGTTATCTCCTCAGGAGAAATCAGCACTTTTTGGTCAAGATCTCGTTTCAGTTCAGGCTGTTACATATGTACCTAGGAAGATACAAATTTACCCTGCAAGTTACTAAAATAATGTTTAATTTCTCTTCCGCTGATGCAGATGCTAACAGTGTTAATGTAACGTCACCTCAAGACACACCCATGTCACACAGGAAAGATGGAAAATTCATCATTTTTGGCATTGATGTAGAAATTCAGAAACCTATAGAAAAACTACCGAGAGGTACTGATATTGGTGACAGTAATTAGGAAGCCTGCATAGGCCCAATCGAGTTCACATCCACCGAGTTCGCACCGCTGAATTCACTATAAACTTTCTCTTTCGAGTTCTCCTTCACCTTCTATGTATTGAAGAACGACAAATAAACATTTTTTGTGGGATTTTGTGTCTTTGTGCCCACAATGTTGTCTTTTTTGCTTGGTAAGAGAAAGAGAAATTTTAAGCACTTGATCGCTGGTTGAATTGATGTGGGTGCGAACTTGGTTGGTGCGAACTCCCTTGGGTGCAGAGCCTCCAGCTACCTAAAGCCAAAAGTTACAATAACTAAGAGAGGATGGCTAATGGATTTTTTATAAAGCCAGACTGGCTTTAAAAAAAAATCCCTGTTAGGAAATCCTTTTCAAGTTATAAATTAATAAAGATGGTGAATTTTACATTAGTTACAATAACTAAGAGAGGATGGCTAATGGATTTTTTATAAAGCCAGACTGGCTTTAAAAAAAATCCCTGTTAGGAAATCCTTTTCAAGTTATTTTTAGACGTGGTACCCAGTTCTTCCGCCGATAATGTATCACACACATTATGTTTTCATGGAGGATGAAAATTCGTGTAAAGCTGCTTAAGTTGTCCACACGAGAATTGGCTAGTTCCAGATTTCCGAAACTGGAAGTGATGTTAGAAATAGAACTTGAAAGGGATTACTTTGAGAATAGCGCCTATAGGGGGGTTAATTTCCTTTCTCTTCATCTTCTCATGCAATAACCTTATGCGTTTAACTCCACATGAAGTGGTCAAGGGTATACAGTATTTTGGTCATTACTGTCAACAATATGCGACTCAAGCTAAGCTCCGGTCCCCGTAAAGATTATCCCAACCCCATTGGCATTGAGACTCAGGCTCTGTAACTCAACCCCATCCCCTACCCTCTTCCCCATGTCTCTGGTTTATCATGAGACTCTGTGTCTTTGACTTGTTAACCTAGGTACAGCGATATTCTTCGAGTTCAAGCATTACAAACCCAAAAAGGACATCGTGAGCACAAAATGCTTTGCGTTTATGGAGCAGGATGAAATAAAACCCGGCCCTGCTTGCATAGAGCTGTAAGTAAACAACGTTTTACCTTTTTACGTAAATTTTGACTTATGCGTTCTACTGTTCTACTGGCCTCTGGTCTTCAAAGGATGGATAACGCTATCCGCTGAATTAATCGCTATCGAGTAAATAGTGTATTCTACTAAGTTCTTTTTTCGACTTTTATTCAGAGGATATGCATCTTTTTCCTTGTATCGAGACCCTGCCAACTATGAAAGTCGGGCGGCTTTGGGGATAAGTATGTTTCTCTTCTTTCCTCCATTTCTGTGCGCAGTGTGCTTTGTCCTCTCCCTGCCTTGCCCTAGTCAAATTATTCAAGATGGCGACTTGACTTTCTGCCCGGGAGAGGAGGGGGGGAGGGGAGGGGAACACCCGTATGAAAAGGTCGGGGAGGCTCGTCTCGCTTTATAGGGGTATAAATCAACGATTCTGGTCTCACTTAGGGGGTTCGTGAGGAAACGGCACTATGTGTCCATGTAACTGTCGAAGTGTCTATCTATAATAATAAAAACCGCTCTTATTTCTGTTTTTTATCTACATTTTCGCCGGTCTCTCGAGTCCGGTCTGTTAGCGCAGGCTCCCTTCCTGGACAGCGGCTGCTAATCAAGCCTATTCCATTTTAAGTGGTATCCTTTAGGGGTCAAATAAAGCGCAAGGCACACCCAGATTGGTCTCCTTAAGGGGTTTAATTCATATTTTTCGACAAGCATCACCGGCCCTTTCATANAATTATTTATTTATTATTATACAAGCCTGAATTACCTAAGCTTCAGATCAGCTAGAGTCATATCTTCTAGTGATTAACCCAGACACTGACCAATGAGTGGTTCCAGAAAATATCCATAACTTCACCAAGGATGGTTATTTGGTTGAAATTTACCCTCAGACTAAGAACACCTTTAATTAATTAAGAATAGTTTTGATACAATTAATTTTTTTTCTTAATATTGTTTTTTCTTTTAAGGCCAGAGAAGATGAGATTTCCTCTGAGGATATCAAAAAAGTTGGTGAAGGTATGTATTTAGCTAATTATTAATTAATGATTTGGGCCATGGATAGAGCCATATTGTAAGAGCGGCAAGTGTCTTTCCCGACTGATCATGATAGATCAAGCAATGACTTATTCTGGTATCTGAGATTTCTCTGACCAAGTAATGAGGTGTTTGTGATATTATAGGCCATTGTGTCAGTGAAAGAAATTAAATTGTATTTTATTTACTGACATTTATCTCCAGGTTGAAGACATATTAACCCAAAAACAATTTGACCTTACAACATACAGTGACTTAAATACACAAATTAAATATTAACAGTTTATTTAATATAATTATTATTACTGAAACTTGAACTCTATAATGGCCTACAAGGGGTGACTCTGCCTGAAAAGGGTACCATTTTCAAGCTTCAGGTATATAAAAAGGAATGGAATTTCACAAGTTGAGGTGTTTGAAAGAGTAGGGAAATTTGTCATTTATTAATAGTTATTTCAAAGGGCCTTTAATTAAAATTTCCTGAGCAGACGCACCTTGTGGTTGTACAGTACATGTACCATTATTTTAATTTAGTAGGCTGTACATGAAAATGACAAGACGACTTCTTTTTTTGATGATTTATTTATAGTGCGGGGAAGTTACGAAAGTATGCGAAAGGGATACCTTTTTTCAATTAAAGGTATATGGAAGGGGTACGTTTCCTGTCAAAATGGTTCACAAAAGGGTAAGGGATTGGACCCTGACCTGGGCAGAGCCTCCCAATAAAGGACTTTCTATGTAGTCTTCACTTTCAAATATCAATGTTCTTCTTCTTCTTGTCTGCTTCTGTCAGTATTAAGAAACTTGAATGTTGGGTGGAGTGGTCCATTTCCAGTCAGAGTGGAGGAGCCAAAAATAAGGTTGGTCCCGCCTGTTCTGCTGAGTGTTCTTTCTATCTCATCTTGTGGTACAGTGAAGCCACACTATAACTATTTCTTCTTGTATAATAATCATATTATTTTATATTTTGACTGGCTGGGCTGTTGTAGAAACTGTCAGCTTCTAATTAACTTCTCATTTTTTTTTTGAGGTTAATTCAGAAGATTTAGAAAATATTTAACTGACAGCTGTTTGTAAGTTAGAAATTAAATATTATAAATAAGTAAACAACTGAAGTGTTTAGCATACAGTAATTGTATTAATAACCTTATTATTATTTAATTTGCTAGTGGTGGTGGTGCTGCAGGATATGGAGAGGAGAATGGTAGTGAGTTTGTTGCTACAGCAGGTGAGTTCTAAGTAACTGGGAAAGTTATATTAATTAGAAATTTATTGTTAGTAGTTATTATTATTTTTTTAATTAACATGAAGCCCTTGTATGTACTTCCTTACTGAATGTTAGGCCCAGGTCTTGGCAGTAAGAATTAAGTGCAGTGAAGTCTAAACAGAAAAGCCTGATGGCTATTTTGTTCCCGACCGATTAATTTTTTTTTATTATTGTGTTTATAATAAACAAAGATTTTGATCAGATCAGATCAGACCACATCAGTCAAGACTGGAATTTTCAAGTTCTGGAAAAGAAGGGTTTTTGCACAGACCTACAGGGAAGAATTTTACAGGATTACATGTAGGATTATATTCTACAAATAGGATCAACAGGTTTAAGGATCTTGACTTAGATTCTATTCCTAAAGAATTTTACAAGAAATATTTACCACGTTCCTGTAGGATCGTTGTGAGATCCCATTCCCAGAGATGCCAAGAACCTAAAAAAATTCCACACCCGGGAGATTGCCAATATTCTACCCTGTAGAGAACTGACAGCTGAGCTCTAGATCTGCTAATTCCACAACAAAAATGCATCAAATATCAAAAAGTGTTCCCTGAAAGCGTCAAAAATCAGCCAAATTGAGTGTGAAAAATGTACGTTAAGCACTTTCCTTCATCTCTGGGAGATTTGGTGATTCGTGATTCAGTTTGTATCTGGGATTCCTGGATAAACTAGGAAAGTTGGCATAGATCTGATGCATTCCTCTTTAGGATCCTTTGGGGTTTTATACATTCGGTCAGGATCCTACATATTTATACTGATCTAGTTTGATTTTGGTCCATGGAATATGGAAAGTTTGTAACTAAGAGTCTAGTAAGTACAGGAAAAATAGAATGCCGTAGTTTAGAAAAGGGGTTTCACAAATTCAAAGCAATATGCCTGTTATATCTCTCAGTTAGTACGGCCGCTGTGATTGGTCAATTTGGCGGGCCGTATTCTACTGTACGGCCCGCTAAAATTTTAAAAGCTGTTTTTGTTGCCAAAATGTTTCGTGATTTATAGCCAAGTGTTCTTAACTTTTTTAGCTAGAAAGGGTTTAAAAATTCTTTTCTTCTGAAATTTTGTATTAATGCCTGCTAACGACTTAAGAGTCACTTAACAACGACTTCAAATTGACTCGTTTTACTTTCGACGTACGCTGGAAATTTGAAGCCATTCCGCGTGAATACAAATCGTTCCCGAACCCGTCAGAGACACAGTAGAGATATAATAAATGTCTTACTAACCTCGTCTTCTCGGTCCGTACAGTAAGTTACGGATCCTTGTTTTCCCCCTTCGATCTATGGCCCGCGCGCCGCACGCTCGAGCCGTAAATTGATGGGGAAAAAACTTGGTCCGTAACCTACAGTACAGCCCTCAAACTCGGTTAGTAAGAGGTATTTACATGCCGAAAGTTTACTTGTTAAAGAAATGGAGGCTTCATTAGTAGTGTCTGATAAAGGGGATCCATATCACATGTAGTCTCAAGGAGTTCTTATATTCATTAAGACCCAGTAAGATCCATAGCTGATTTACATGAGTGCTCTAATGACAGGTCCTGTGGAGTACTCATTATTGGAGGTTTGACCAAAAGTTAATTTTTGCCATTTTGTAACTGAAGGTGGGACACTGTTGCCAAGGATACCATATGAAGAGGGATTTCGTCGGCTTGTAGTGCGAATCGACCAGATTGGGTTGAAGGATGCTCATGTTTACCTGAACCCTTTTTTCACTGTCTCCGTTAAAGGTAGTGTTCAACAATTTGACCTTACAAAATTACCTGTGTTAGAAACTTGAAATAGGACTTACAAGTCTTTGTCACAAAAACTAGTTTATTACAACCATACCTTTACAACCAACAAACTCTTAACAAAATTGCATACTAAAAAATGTTCATGTAATTGATAATGACAAACTATTATTACATAAAGTTACATGAAAGATCATATAAAGACCTTTGTGAAGGAACGAAGGTGACTTTAACGCAATTTGCGTGACTGTTCGTGGCAACACTTAGCCAAAATCCTCACAAGTGACCGTCATGAAATGCGGAATGGGCTTCCATTACTTTTTTCCACTGACTTTCTGGCAACATAAGTTTGGATTCTATTATTTTTTGGTCGATAAGGCATTAGTTCAAATACGTTTACTTGTTCTTGATCTTTAAAATTGAACTCGATAGTTTATGTTTTTTATTGTTGTTGTTGTTGTTTTTTTGTTTTCTCGTTATCTCCTCAGGAGAAATCAGCACTTTTTGGTCAAGATCTCGTTTCAGTTCAGGCTGTTACATATGTACCTAGGAAGATACAAATTTACCCTGCAAGTTACTAAAATAATGTTTAATTTCTCTTCCGCTGATGCAGATGCTAACAGTGTTAATGTAACGTCACCTCAAGACACACCCATGTCACACAGGAAAGATGGAAAATTCATCATTTTTGGCATTGATGTAGAAATTCAGAAACCTATAGAAAAACTACCGAGAGGTACTGATATTGGTGACAGTAATTAGGAAGCCTGCATAGGCCCAATCGAGTTCACATCCACCGAGTTCGCACCGCTGAATTCACTATAAACTTTCTCTTTCGAGTTCTCCTTCACCTTCTATGTATTGAAGAACGACAAATAAACATTTTTTGTGGGATTTTGTGTCTTTGTGCCCACAATGTTGTCTTTTTTGCTTGGTAAGAGAAAGAGAAATTTTAAGCACTTGATCGCTGGTTGAATTGATGTGGGTGCGAACTTGGTTGGTGCGAACTCCCTTGGGTGCAGAGCCTCCAGCTACCTAAAGCCAAAAGTTACAATAACTAAGAGAGGATGGCTAATGGATTTTTTATAAAGCCAGACTGGCTTTAAAAAAAAATCCCTGTTAGGAAATCCTTTTCAAGTTATAAATTAATAAAGATGGTGAATTTTACATTAGTTACAATAACTAAGAGAGGATGGCTAATGGATTTTTTATAAAGCCAGACTGGCTTTAAAAAAAATCCCTGTTAGGAAATCCTTTTCAAGTTATTTTTAGACGTGGTACCCAGTTNGAAGCCTGCATAGGCCCAATCGAGTTCACATCCACCGAGTTCGCACCGCTGAATTCACTATAAACTTTCTATTACGAGTTCTCCTTCACCTTCTATGGATTGAAGAACGACAAATGAACATTTTTTGTGTGATTTTGTGTCTTTGTGCCCACAATGTTGTCTTTTTTGCTTGGTAAGAGAAAGATAAATTTTAAGCACTTGATCGCTGGTTGAATTGATGTGGGTGTGAACTTGGTTGGTGCGAACGCCCTTGGGTGCAGAGCCTCCAGCTACCTAAAGCCAAAAGTTACAATAACTGAGAGAGGATGGCTGATGGATTTTTTATAAAGCCAGACTGGCTTTAAAAAAAATCCCTGTTAGGAAATCCTTTTCAAGTTATCAATTAATAAAGATGGTGAATTTTACATTAGTTACAATAACTACGAGAGGATGGCTAATGGATTTTTTAAAAAGCCAGACTGGCTTTAAAAAAAATCCCTGTTAGGAAATCCCTTTCAAGTTATTTTTAGACGTGGTACCCAGTTCTTCCGCCAATAATGTATCACACACATGTTTTCATGGAGGATGAAAATTCGTGTAAAGCTGCTTAAGTTGTCCACACGAGAATTGGCTAGTTCCAGATTTCCGAAACTGGAAGTGATGTTAGAAATAGAACTTGAAAGGGATTACTTTGAGAATAGCGCCTATAGGGGGGTTAATTTCCTTTCTCTTCATCTTCTCATGCAATAACCTTATGCGTTTAACTCCACATGAAGTGGTCAAGGGTATACAGTATTTTGGTCATTACTGTCAACAATATGCGACTCAAGCTAAGCTCCGGTCCCCGTAAAGATTATCCCAACCCCATTGGCATTGAGACTCAGGCTCTGTAACTCAACCCCATCCCCTACCCTCTTCCCCATGTCTCTGGTTTATCATGAGACTCTGTGTCTTTGACTTGTTAACCTAGGTACAGCGATATTCTTCGAGTTCAAGCATTACAAACCCAAAAAGGACATCGTGAGCACAAAATGCTTTGCGTTTATGGAGCAGGATGAAATAAAACCCGGCCCTGCTTGCATAGAGCTGTAAGTAAACAACGTTTTACCTTTTTACGTAAATTTTGACTTATGCGTTCTACTGTTCTACTGGCCTCTGGTCTTCAAAGGATGGATAACGCTATCCGCTGAATTAATCGCTATCGAGTAAATAGTGTATTCTACTAAGTTCTTTTTTCGACTTTTATTCAGAGGATATGCATCTTTTTCCTTGTATCGAGACCCTGCCAACTATGAAAGTCGGGCGGCTTTGGGGATAAGTATGTTTCTCTTCTTTCCTCCATTACTGTGCGCAGTGTGCTTTGTCCTCTCCCTGCCTTGCCCTAGTCAAATTATTCAAGATGGCGACTTGACTTTCTGCCCGGGAGAGGAGGGGGGGAGGGGAGGGGAACACCCGTATGAAAAGGTCGGGGAGGCTCGTCTCGCTTTATAGGGGTATAAATCAACGATTCTGGTCTCACTTAGGGGGTTCGTGAGGAAACGGCACTATGTGTCCATGTAACTGTCGAAGTGTCTATCTATAATAATAAAAACCGCTCTTATTTCTGTTTTTTATCTACATTTTCGCCGGTCTCTCGAGTCCGGTCTGTTAGCGCAGGCTCCCTTCCTGGACAGCGGCTGCTAATCAAGCCTATTCCATTTTAAGTGGTATCCTTTAGGGGTCAAATAAAGCGCAAGGCACACCCAGATTGGTCTCCTTAAGGGGTTTAATTCATATTTTTCGACAAGCATCACCGGCCCTTTCATACGGGATTCTCCCCTCCCTCCCCCCCAGGGACTTCGCGACGATTTCAGCGCAAACGGCAGATTCGATATCGTGGCATACATAGCTTCCCTTTTTTTCACGAGAAAAGCTGTATCAAATTTTCTGCTGTCCGTACACAGTGCTGTAAAGCCTTGGAGCCGACTGGCTCATAGCTGCCAGAGCTTATCCCGGTTTCTGTAGCATGAAGCGGCTAGGAGTATTTCTACTCCCACCTGGACGGGATGCTAGTCCATCGCAGGTCACCCCCTCGTACTTTGTTAGGTTTCCCCAACGATTCGCCGGTACCCATTTATACTCCTGGGTGGAGAGAGGCACCGTGAGAGTTAAGTGTCTTGCCCAAGAACACAACACGCTGTCCTCGGCCAGGGCTCGAACCCGGACCGCTCGATCCGGAGACGAGCGCACTAACCATGAGGCCACAGCGCCAACAGAACTGTACTGAAACATATCTTTTTCTTTTTCAGATATCAAAAACCAACAGACTTTCATCGCAAGAGGTTAAACCTTTTAACGCAAAAGCCGCTCTACCTTCATGTCACGCTCAACATCCTGGATGACTGAACTGTCGTACAAAGAGAGGTGTTCTTACCTTAGGTTAATTTTATGTAGGAATCAATAAGTAAGCAGGTTGCGAAGTATTAAATCTACTCACCCACAAAGGAACATTCGTTATAATAAACTAGGCTTGCGTACAAAATGTAATATTTTATATAATATTTAGTTAATTCTACTTAAAGGGGTACCGTAAAAGGTCCTTTAAGCTCCTAGGAGTCTTTTCAAGACCTTTCAACGGGTACTTATCAGATAGAGGGAAGGTTATTTTGTTATTTAACTTACATACGAAAAGAGATTTTATAAAAGCAAATGTGCTAAGCTGGGTAATGTACAAGCATATATCGTAGATGTCGGAAGTAACGAACCCTTGAAAGTAGCGGCGATCGGTCAAAAGTAACGTTAAAAATTTCATGGCTATTACTCAACAAATCTCATAATTAACCCGGCCAATCTATCGGTAGCGACCTCAAAGCTAATTTGATTCGTCATGGGAAACAAATGCAACGAGGTGAGCCAAAATGATCAGATATTTGAGTTAGATTATTCTATCTCAAAGGCGATACGCTTTACCTTTTTAAAGTAACATCGATTTCGACAAGATTTCTTTCTTCCCTCTATAATTATATTAAAAACGTTTGATTTGGCTCACTTGAGGTACAAGTTTCCGTTAGCCGGGAGGAGAGACACTGCAAAAGTAGCAAAAGAACTGGTAAGGCTGCTAATTTATAGGTTCGTTAAAATTTATTGCTTAAATTTACCCCATTTGCCTCAAATTAGGTCTTTTCCCGTTCATCATTTGCCTTGACTTGCCTTCTTAAGGCTATTGTCAACAAAATAGCGTGCGCTGGAACCACAGAAAACTGTATATCATTTTATTATATGGCCGTGTCTCACAAGGATTGGGAACTGCCAAATTCACGACTTTGATTGGCTGAAATCAATATTGGCCGCAGTCTAGATTTTCCCATCTAGACCGGCATCTAGACCGGTAATGTTTTGCAGTGAAAAAGTTGCAAACTAGAATGCAAATTGACTATTTTCTTCTAACGATGTTTATTAATGGAGTGCCAAAAACCTTGGTGAGAAAAAAAAGTAAAGAGGACGAGCAAACTTTGGCAGAATTAAATTCAGCTCATCGCTGTTCGCACTGAAGCAAAATGTCAGTTAGTACAAACCGTTACATTAAACGAATTAAATTGTTCTTGTTTGCCATATAATAAACATCTTATTAACCGAACTTAGTCGGTCGGTATGGGAGAATCTTGACCTCGGTCGTGTGTAGAGACCTCACTGTGTTCGTACTGTACTCACGACCGAGGTCAAGATTCTCCCATACAGACCTCCAACTCGGTTAATAAGAGCTAAATAATAGACTAAAATCCACTTATTAGGGACCTATTAAAAAGCTGAAGTATTAGATAAGGGCTTATTAGAGATGGGGTGAAGAGAGGTGTTGTAATTTTATTCAGTGGAAATTAACTTAAAAAGATAGTTACTCATTTGTCTCGTATCGGCATCTGAATGTTCACCTGTAAACATATGAATTAAATTTGGTGGAGAAAGATAACCAGTTAGGTTAAACAGCCAGAATTTAGTGATGGCCGTTATACATGTAGAAAGTTAGACTCGTTATATATAGTGCTATATTACATAGTTTTAGCCTATTCTATAAATTAGAAATAGTTTTCAATTGAACAAAAATGTTATGATTTATAGTGTTTAAGTCAGTTTCTTGTTTAGATGCCTGCCTTAACTTTCCTTTTTTTCTCGGAGGTCTGGGGAGAGCCAGAAACGAGCTGGCGCTCCTGGAAGCTCGGAAAGGGCCTGAGAGCGAGATAACAAATGTTGCCCTCTTAACCTGGAGGTTTTACTGAAGTACACATTTGTCGATAAGGGGATGGTATAAAATAAGGGGATGGTATAAGATAAGGGGATGAGGGGATGGTTTATTTTTATTTTTTTTAATCGTGCACAATTAGTCATGATCCACTTTTTAAAG